ATTTTTCTCTTGGGTACAGACATGGGACAAAGGGGCGGATACATTTACCACTTACGTTGGCGGATAGGGGCGGGTACCAGTAAACCTGGCCTTTGCAGAAACTTCTGCCAGTAAATGGGCAAAAGCCATAAAACAAAGGGGCGGGTACCGGTAAATCTGGCTGCATAACAGCATTGCGGGAACTTCTGCCAGCGAACGGGCAGATAAAAGAGTTACTTTATCCCCAAGCTTTCTGCTAAAGCTCTAAACCCTTCTCCCTCCCCACTTCTGCGTCTGCCATGTGCAACCTTTTCTGTCTGACTTCCACTGGCAGTGGGTGGGTGTGGTGGTAATCTAATTGTACTGAAATGTGATTTTGATTGTATGTTAATAAATAAAGTTGCCAGGGGGTCAGAGCTATTAGAGCCATAGACAGAGTGTGGCGGTGGTGGTGCATGCCTTTAATCCCATAGATCACTGTGTGTTCAGGGATACAGCCAGCATTGGAGACATATGCCTTTAAGACCTGGGGGGCTGTACATACAGACAGTGACGAGGCAGTCACGTGTTTGGGTTTACAACCAATGAGAAGGCAGAATGACTATGAAACGACTTACACACAAGGAAATAGCTCTCTTTCGGGAAGCTGGGACCACCGCAGGAGGAAGGGTGAGATTTTAGCTCTGAGCTCTGACCTCTTGGCTTTCTCTTTTACATTGGTTCTGTGTTTCTTATTTAATAAGATGGTTGGTTACATCTACAGGTGGGCTCAAATAGGCAGGCTTGGGTGACTTCTATGACTCTAGCCCTAACTCACCTTAACTCTACCCACTCATTCTCAAACTGCCTTGAGAAGCACAGACAGGTCTGGAAGCAGCTAAGATCCGTACAAACAAGTTTACAGTAGTCAGGATGGCTCTTAAGCAAAAAATCAACTTATAGCCTCAGACAAGTCTTCCAAAAGGATCGGTTTATAGTCTGCCTCCTGGCAGATCTTCCAAAAGCTGTCCTTAAGCCATCAATCATCAGGGAAAAAAATTCAGGACACGAAATAAAATCTGTCTCTTGTTCCTCAGACCTCCCTGACTAAAACGTAAGCATCTGAAGAGCAAGGCTCCTGACCCCACAGGCAAAAGAGTCATCTGTGGCATTTAAGGTGTGCCAGGGAAGAGATAAAAGCCTGAAAACAAAATTGCCAAGTGCTGGCACTTGCTGACTCCCAAAAGCTGTTGGGTCCCTGTTTTAAGTGAGGAAAAAGGTCACGAGCTAGCGAATGCCCTGCCAGACCATCATCATCCTTGTTAAAAGTGCCGCCTGGAAAGACAACCAGTCAGCCGACTGCCCCCAGGCACCAAGACGCTTGGGTACATCAAGCTAAGACCTCCAGCATACCTAGGCTTGGCTACAGACATGGCAGGGAACCCAGAACGCAGCAGGGAAGCGATCCGTTTCTTTCCTTCTGGACACCAGAGCCACTGACTCAGTCCTGGGAGTTTTGGGGTGTCACCTCTCCTTTCTCTATAGTCGGGTACAGAGGACAGCCTTACCCACCTCACCAGATTTAACTGCACTTTCAGAGTTACTTAATGGAAAAAGATTTCCAGCTAAGATAAGAGCTCATTGTCTCACTCCAGATCCACTGCCTGTGTTTCTCATGTGCATACAGACAGGGCCCTGAACTTTGCCTTGCTCCTAATTCAAAAAAGTAAGTTCTCACACACCACAAGCTTTTCTCTTTTCAGTTCCCTGCTCTAACTCACTGTTCAGCCAATGATACAGGACCACCACAGAGCCGGAGTCCAAAGATCATCAAATAAGTGACAGAGGCCTTGAACCAGACCAGTGAAATGAACATTTTGTGAGTGGGAATGATTGACAAAGGGGTATGCTGTGTGACACACTGCAGCTCCCATGCCACTAGGATGAATGAAGAGGTGTGGGAAAGACAGAGCAGGAAGGTGGGTTTGTTGTTGTTGTTGTTTTGTTTTAAATTGATTTGGGGGGAGGGTTTCTTTGAGGGGCTGCTGCAGGGGTGAGGGGAGGATATGGAGGGACTGGGAGCTGAGCAGGATTGGGGTGCATGATGTGAAACTCCCGAAGGACCAATGAAGAATTATGGTACCTATAAAAAAGAAATATTGAAAGTGCCTAGCCTAGATTTCTTTTAAAAAATGTAAAGGTACACGTCTTTGTATTTGTATCACATAGTGTGTGTGGGTGTTATCAGGAACAAGAAAGATTGACCAGAGGAACCCCGTGTGGCAGAAGGAGAGAACAAACCCCTGCGACTTGTCCTCTAACCATCACCCACACACCACAACCAAGTGTCCCTCCCACAGATAAGAAACACAACAACACGAAGCACTTCAAGGGCTGCCATCTCCCCTGCCCCAGGCTGCATTCCCACAGGTGGAAACAAGGTCTCAAATGCATGACTGCTATGCAAAGGTCCAGTCTGAAATTATCCTAAGATTACAAAAAAATGTCCAGTGTTTGACTGGCTCCCCTTACCAGTCTTGCACAGACGACCAATGTACAGCCATCAAAGCCGGGGAATTAATGTTTGTAAATTCTGTCAGCTAGTCTCTTTGCCTTTTCCAAGCTTCCTGGGCTGTTGCACCGTTTGTAAGCCTCTCGATGTGTGGTGAGCATTGTCTTACCTCCTCGGTCTCGCGTAACCCCGGGGCCTTCTCTTGTCTCCCAAGGCTCCCACACTTCCCAGTACTCGTGTGCTTTGCAGAATGTCGCTCAGTTTGAGTCTGCCTGCTTCCCCCTGGTTTGGATTTGGACTGTCCATGCTGGGCAGGAGTACTGCAGCACACCGTGTTGGGGGCAGGAATGGCGGGGGAGAGAGAGGTGGTGACGTCAGGATCTGGAGTGGTATTGGGGCTTGATGGAGGAGATGCCTGCTTTTCTTATGATTTTTTTTTTTTTTTTTTTTTTGCTACAGGCCTCAGGAATATATCGAAAGAACTCAGCTGATATATAACAAGCCAAATAACACCAAAAGCTCCGTGGAATTTGGCTTCCTCTGAAGAAAATCCTTGATTCCTCCAGGTAGTGACTTTGCCATAACCAGCTGAGTTCTTATATTCCTGCGGCCTGTAGCAATTTTTTTCCATTTGAAATTGATGTATCATGGAAGGAGACACTGCTCTACTTCCATCCTTGCCTACATATTTCTAAGTCCAACAGCAGACCTAGAGCCCATCTGTACTTCTGCAGTGACTCACTGGGACTCTGTTGGGAGGAGACTCTGTTTCTTCCTCCACTTTATTGACTATTCACTACAGACTGAACATCTGCTTTATTCTATGGGTGTTAACGCCCTTTTGGATTTTGGGCAGACCTGATTAAACTGTCCAGAAAGGCTGAGCAGACCTTCACATCCCTGGATACTGTAAGAGCCCAGCACCAGCTTTTGTGCCCACCACCCATGGCTTCTACACAGCCAGAGCGGTCAGTGAAGGAGGGGTCCGCCACTGCTGCTCTCGGCACTTTATTGCCAGCAGACAGTGTCTTTCCACCCCGCTCCCATCACTTCTCATCTCCGTTTCCTCATGGAACACTGCAGCTTTTCTCTCACCGTCTCTGTGTTTGTGATAAATGTAACAAAATAAAAACAACGCTGGTGTCTGTGTGTCTGGACCTGTGCGTGCAGCGGAGGGCAGGTGGAGTTGGTTCTCTCCTATTACTAACTTGAGACATTTTCATGGTATCTTTGTATTTTCATTGTGTGTGTGTGTGTGTGTGTGTGTGTGTGTGTGTGTGTGTGTGTGTGTGTGCCAGAGGACAACCTCGGGTGTCATTCCTTAGAAGCTAGCTACCTTGTTTTTGGAGACAGGGTCTCTGAGTGAATGTGTAACTTGATAATTCAGCCAGGCTGGCTGGCCAGCGAACCCCAGGGATCTGTCTGTCTCCCAGTAATCTGAGTGCTGGGTTTACATATGCATGTTCCCCTGCCTGGCTTTATTTTATTTTATTTTTTCTTTTTCATGTGGGTTCTGAGATTGAACTCAGGTCTTCATACTGGCAAGACAAATGCTTTACCAACAGACCTGTCCCCCTAACCCCTGAACTTAGATGCACATAAATTTTATAATTTTATACAATTCCAACTTCTATTTGTCTTTCCTAAATAACAAGAAATTCAGCTTGTTCTCTTAGATTACTAATGCACTTAATTCTTCTCCTTTTTTTCTTTTCTTTCTTCTTCACAACTTTCTTTTATTCTCCTGGAATACATTCTACCAGACTTTTTAACATCAAAGTGCTTCCTTATTTCAATGTGTTTACTCCAAGTTCAGGAACATATGAAGATGAAATTTAAATCCGTAGAGAAATGCATACAGCTTCTAACAAATTTACAGATGAACCCCTTGGAGGACAAAGTGGAAGCTTACCTCAAGCTGTTTATAAAAGCAGATTCCACATAGATATATTTACATTAGGAAAATATTTTTAAGATTTATTTTATTTTTAATTATGTATATGTGTGTGTTTGTGCACAGTGTGCAAGGGCTTGCAGAAGCCAGAAGAGTGTGGCAGATGCCCTGAGGCTGGAGTTAGAGGTGACTGTGAACATTGTCAGTGCTGGGTAAACTCAGGTCCTCCACATGAGCAGAAAGTGCTCTTAACTACTGAGCAATCTCTCTGGCCTCATTAGGAAAGCATTTTATCAAGAAAATATGAGCTCTGCAACTTAGGCCTTCTGAATAGATGCACAGCAGGTTGTCTATGCCCCCATAGTTTGATAGCTTTGGGCAAGCATGAGATAGATAGATGTAAGGCCAGGAAGCTTTTCACCACACTGCTAGGACATCTGCATCTTGCTGCCTCTCCTTAGAGCACAGACTGCATACAATGGCAAAAACATTTTACTTTTTACTACTCATACAAGGCTTTGGTTATCTTTACCCAGACTCAAATACATACAAAAGCAAAACTTTTATTTGAATAAATTGAAATAAATAAGAATATAAAGTACAGGTTTACAAACATGTACAATTACTAACATAAATACTAATTTACATGACATGTAGGCATAATAGAACATAATAGAACACATAAAAAAGAGGACTGTGACGGGGCCTGGGAGAAACTACAAAATTAAGTCATCAGTGATCGGCGTCAAAAGCGCCACAAATAAAACCTGCAGATGGTCCCAGTGACGTCCTAGCTGGAAGAAGCAGCTCTCGGGTCTCATGTGGTACTCCCGGAAGCACTTGGCATGGACACCCTTCTGGCACTTCTTACAGCCGGTGTTGGTCTGTGAGTAGCAGAGGGCACACCGGGTCCTCTTGTCCTGATGGACAATCCAGCGCCCAATCATATTGAAGCGGCTCTCAGTTTCCACCCGCTGACTCCGTCTCCCCAGGGAGGAAGCGTCCGCATTGCTCCCCAGATACACGCGGGCAGGCCACGGACCTGTGGAAGGCGAGGAGGTCCACCTGTGCGTCCTGGCAGCACACCCGGTGCAGCTGCCACGCATTGTTGAGGGCCGCGTCGATGATGCAGCTGGTGAAGTCCCACTTCATGCCGCGGATCTGCACCTTGTCCTTGGCGATGTTCTGGTCCATCTGGTCAACCCCTCTGGCCTTCTGATAGAGCTTCCCCAGGGATGGCTGGTGGACCTGTGCCCCAGCTTTGGCTGCTCCGGGGTGGCGGCTGGTCTGCCTCGCTGGCTCTGTGCCCACCGCATTGGAGCAGATGTTCACCACGCGGCTGATGCGCCACCACGCGGCTGATGCGCCAGCGGCACACAATGGTCTCCTCGCTCTCATCCACCTTGGAGTCAAACGAGCCCTTTCTCTTATTCCCCCGTTCTTTGGGATCCTTGAGGGGGCAACGCTTGGTTCTGTACTCACAAACAGTTCCTATGGCCTTTACCCCTTTCCCCCTCAAAATGGGCATCGGGTTGATGCTTGTAAAGACCTTGTCAAAGAATATGTGGTATGGCGGAGAGCCAAGCTCCTGAAGGGCGTCCACAAATCTGACCACCATACTGCCTCCTATATCCAAGCCCCGGTCTGGCTTGGTGAATAGTGTGCCCTGTGAAGGCCCAAACCACGCCAGGTAGCCTCTGCTGATCGTTCCACACCAGATCTTGTAGCCTAGCCAGACCGGCTTCCCTGAGTGCAGTTGCTTGGACCCCCGGCGCCCAAAGTATTCACAGACGGATTCACCAAAGCTGTAGAACTCTTCCAGGGGAGCATGCTTCTGGAAGCTACAGTTCATACGGACGATGAGAGGCCTGACCTTGGCAAACCTATCGTTTTCATCGAGTTCGCTGTTATCTGCAAAATGCAGGAGAAGATCAGCTCAAATCTGTCTCTTCTAATAACATCATCCACAAGGTGATGATGCGAGTCAGGAGCTGTCTCCTAAAACATCTGTCTCCTTGGATAGGAGACGTACCCACTTAAAATCAAGATGCCCAAAACACACTTCAGTTCCTGGGCTGTGAGATCCAGGGTGATATTTTTCTGCCCAGCATAACGGTTGGTTTCATCAACAATGAAACTGTCCCGTCATCAAAAAAACAGCTCAAAGAGGCCCACAGGACTCAGCTCCTTGGTTTTGAGGTCCTCTATATGAGGGTCTGAGGCTGTGCAGCTACCGAAGTCTGGCCGGATGTCTCTCTTGGTCCAAACACGCTGGGGCTCCACTGCTGCCTTCCGCCTTTTCTTGGCTGCTTGCAGCTCTGGCTTGTCATAGCCCCCCTCCTCCTGAAGGTCGGAGTCCTCAGACACAACTGAAGCACACAGCACCCAGCCTGGTCGCTGGGCACCATGCTGGCCACTGTCTTCTTCCCCAGAATCCTCATCAGTGACGTCCCCGGAGGCATTGTCGGGGGTGGGGGGTGGGGGTGCAATGACAATCTCCTCCCTGTTGCTGCTAAACCCATCCTCCTCCAGAGCGCTCAGGACCTCCAGTAGCTTAGGCGACCTCACCTTTGAGGGTGCTCCTCTCCTGGCAGGGCCACCCCTGCAGTGACAGAACAGTGAGCGAGAGAGGTCACGCCACGGAAAAGTAACTCAGCCTCATGGAGCTGGACCCATCAAGTGCAGCATCACAGCTGTGAGTCTTCCACATAAACAGAGCCGGCAGGAATGGAGAAGGTTTATATCAAGTACACACCGCGGGGCCAGTGCCCACTTTCTACCGTCACCCCCCCCCCCCCCCCCCCCCCCCCCCCCCCCGTCCGACTGCAGGATGAAGGGATTAAAAAGTCACTAACTAGGGCTAACCGTGCTCCCATGAGCACTGTATCCATCCCTTACCGTGACTCTGAAGCCATCACAACCTGCGTAGAGAGGATGTTCTTATTCAGGGTCTAAGAGCCTGTAAGACGATGCAAGTCAGTGTTTTTAATGAGCAAAGCCGCAGACTCTTTACCATTTCAAGGGACAGCTCTTGCCTAAGGCTTGCCAATGAGAAGGATGGGACACACACAGGAAAGAGTATCAGCTGGCTCTCCCATCTCAGAGCACAAACCAGCATACATTCTAAATCAGCGTGGCTCACTGATACAACTATGGACATTTGGGGCTAGATAAGCCTTTGCTGGTGGGGGCGGGTGTGGGATGGGGTGGTGGTGGTGGTGGAGGCAGAGTCAGCCCCCTGCATCATCCCTGGCTTCTGCTCACTGGGCACCTGTAGAATACCCAGCCTCCTTAACTGCTGCAATACAAGATGTCCAGGGGCTGAAAAGACAGCTCACTGGGTAAAAGGCTTACACAGGCCTGGCGACTTGAGTTTGGTCCCTGGAACCCACGTGACGGTAGGAGGAGAGAACTGAGTCCACAAAGTTGTTTTGACCGCTACATGCTTCCCTCGGCACTTACCTGTCCCCGTCCCCCCCTCCCCCCGGAACAATAACAACATAACAAAAATCTCCAGACATTCCGACGTGTTCCCTGGGAGGGGACACAAAATCACCCGATTTTCTGTGGAGATGGAACTGTTCTGCTTCAGACCTATCCAGTTTGGAAACAGCAGGCCACAAGGGGCTGCCGGGCATTTGAAATATGGCGGAAGATGCTGAATTTTTAATTTAAATAGCCACATATGGTCAGTGTACTAGACAAATTCTAAGTATATTAAGAACTAACTGTGGGGGCTCAGGGGTTCAGAGCACTTGCTGTTCCTCCAAAGAACCCGAGTTTGGTCCCCAGTGCCTGTGCCAGGCAGTTCCAGGGAACGTGATGCCCCCTCCTAGTTTCCATAGCACTTGCACACACATGGCAAACACATACATTTTAAAAACTTTAAAAACTAATCATGAAAAAGCCAAAATTTTAAAGTTTTTATTTGTAAGTATTTTATTTTTTTGAGGCAAGGTCTCATGTGATCCAAGGTTGAACTTGAACTCACTTTGTAGCTGAGAGGTACCTTGAACTTCTGACCCCTTTGCCTCTACCTCCCAGTGCTGGGGTTACAAACACGCGGAGCCATGTTGTTAAACTTTTTGTTTGTCTGTTGAGACAGGGTCTCTCTATATAAGTCTGGCTGTCTTGGAACTCACAATGTAGACCAGGCTGGTCTGGAACTCACAGACATCTGCCTGTTTCTGCCTCCTGAGTGCTGGGATTAAAGGCCACCACACTTGGGGAAAAAAAGTGTAAACTTAAAGAATGAATGAAAATCAGTATAGAGAGGACTTTTTTTTGTTTTTTTTAATTTTTATTTTTAAATTACACTCATGATATTCATTAATTACACTCATGATATTAATCACATTTGTGGTATTCATAGATTACATTTGCAGTATTCATTCAAATATATATATATATATATATAAAATGCCGAATGTCATTTATTGAAGGAGGGAGGAGGTCTTGTTTTGTTTTTTAGAATGAAAAATTAAACATCCTTGGCCTTCCTACAAATCTGTAGTAGGCAGCCTCTAGGAGAGCCCTGATGGTCCTCACACTCCTGGTGTCTATGCCCTGGTGTAAGCATGGGGACCACATGACCTACTACTTCTGGCAATCAGAACAGGGCCATGTGGTGAGATGTCCCCTCTGGGAACCTCTGAGGAGAGGCCACAGAGAGACTGGCCTGCTACACTGCCTCTGCCTGTCTGTCTCTACCACTCACTTTGAGGGAAGCCAGCTACCATAGCTAAGCTGTCCTATAAGAAAGGCCTGTGGGACAGGAAACTGAATCTTGTCCCTAGCCAACAGCCACAGATAACTGAGGCCCTGACTCTAACACTGAACAGGGACCCAACTCCGGAGGAACTGTGAAGACAATGACTGGCGAATTCTGTTGTATTTACATCATGACACAGCTCTCAGTGCCAGAGAGCTTGCTCAGCATGTAGGAGGGCCCAAGTGTATCCCCTGCACTGCAGAATAAATAGTAATAATGCCGAATTTAAAAATAAAGTAAGAACTTCCCTGTTTATCAAGTGACAGCCACAAATGGAAGTTATCTGCAGCAAATGTAAAATATTTATATTTTGGCATTATAAAGAATCTAGAACATGCAGGGGGAGAAATCCCAGTAACTATCAAGAAAAAAAAACCAAAATCAACAATACAATTAGAAAATGAATAAAAAGATTTATGGGGACAAAAGAAACATAAATGTGAAAACACATTTAATTTCCACTACTCAGGAAAAGAGGAGCCGGGTGGTGGTGGCTCATGCCTTTAAAGCTACACAGAGAAACCCTGTCTCGGGAGAAAAAAAAAAGGAAATGAAAATTAAAACCACAAGATAACATTTTGGAGGTACAAAATCCGGGAAAAACAAACAAACACCAAACAAACACGCTAAAGGCCGGCGTGACCAGGACCGAAAAGCAGATTTGAGAAGCGTGAGGCCAGAGGCTGCAAGACCACTGAAGAGTGAGGGACGCTGGCCGTGCAAGCTGAACATCGAGCACCTGACTGAGCCGAAATCCATTCCACATATTTAAGGCAGGGTTTTCCAACCCCGCATAGGAAGGAGCTGGACAATTCTTTGTGTTGTGTTTGGGGCGGGCCTCGCAGTTGTGGGAGCCAGGAAGCTGGGTGCTCAGCACGTCCTGCACTTGCCACTAGGGGGCAGCAGCATCCCGACGACAGCTGCGCAGACCCAGAGCGTCTCTCCCTCATCACACCTTCAGAGAATCCTGACCTAGAGGGTCTATGCTCTATGCTCAGGAATGCTCATGGCAGGACAGAAAGCCAGAAGTAGCCCTAATGGCTCACAGAATGGATGTAATGGATACGATAGGAAAGGAACAAATCTCAGCCACACAAGTCACCAATGATTCTGAAAAAACACCAGGGTTGGAAATGATGTAATCCCAGCACTTGGGAGGGTGAGGCAGGAGGATCATCATGAGTTCAGGGCTACACAGTGAGAACAACAAACCAACCAACAAACAACAAAAAAACAACCTCTTACCTGTTACAAGGACCAAAACATTAAACAAAACCAGAATCATGTTCTCTGGAAACATATACAGATCCACAGTGAAACCATCATGAAAATGATTAAGTAGAAGTTCAGAACTGAGCCTCTAAGGACTGGCTGGTTTTGTGTGTCAACTTGACACAAGGTAGAGTCATCAGAGAGGAAGCAGCTCCAGTTGAGGAAATGCCTCCATGAGATGCAGCTGTAAAGCATTTTCTCAATTAGTGATCAGTGGGGGAGGTGGTGCCATCCCTGGGCTGGTGGTCCTGGGTTCTACGAGAAAGCAGGATGAGCAAGCCAGGGGAAGCAAGCCAGTAACCAGCACCCCTCCATGGCCTCTGCACCAGCTCCTGCCCCAAGGATCCTGCTCTGTTTGAGTTCCTGTCCTGACTTCCTTTGGTGATGAACAGCAATATATAAGTGTAAGCCAAATAAAGCCTTTCCTCCCCAACTGGCTTTTTGGTCATGGTGTTTCATCACAGCGATAGAAACCCTAACTAAGACACTCTAAGAGAAAGGTGCAATCATGGCAACCCCCCTCCCTGGGGCACTAGACTTTGGATCAGGATCAGTTTCCTTTGGAATGACATTTACTTATGGGGGCAGGGAGGGGATACACACCCATAGTGCACATGTGGAGGTCAGAGGTCAACTTTTGAGTCTCAGTTCTGTCCTCCCACCATGTGGATCCTGGGAATCAGGTTTGGTGGCAAGTGCCTTAACCCGTTGGGCCGTCTCATTGGCACAGAAGTACTACTTCTGTTTCAGGACCCTTTCAACGGCTCCCTCCTTCCTATTCAATTATGTGCCTTTTACATAAACGCACAGCACGGGGACACCTACAGAGACCACACCGAGTCACTATTACCCAGCGGGAGGACTGCAGCCCCATACAAGAGGGGAAGGGGACATCAACCTGCTGAGAGATTTCACCACGGTTAAAGATGACTAGTACTTAGAGTCGCCTCCCCGCTCAACAGTCTATACCCTTTGGAGAGGAATCTCCTCACTCCCCGCTCAACAGTCTATACCCTTTGGAGAGGAATCTCCTCACT